AATTCTTTTTTTATATAAATAAATTTATTTTTAAATAATTTTTTATTATTAATATTAAAAACTTTTTAATAATTTTAATTTTTTAACTTTATTAACTTTTTATATTAATTATTTTTTCAAATTAAATTTTATAAAAATACTATTATAAATTTTAATTTAATAATAAATTATATAAATTTTTTTTATAAATTATTATATTATAATTATATTAAATATTATATAATTTATAAAAAAGATTTTAATAAATAAAAAATAATTTATAATTATTATTATAAAATTTAATTTTATATTAATTAAACTTTTTTTATTTAAATATAAATTAAAATATTTAATTTTAGAAAATTTTATAAAAATTTAAATAATTTAATTATTTTAAAATAAAAGTATTTGAATTAAATAAATTTAAGTAAAACTAAATATTATTTTATTTAGATTTTATAAAAAATTTTATTTTCTAACTTATTTTTAAAATATCTTAAATATAATTAAATCTTTTTATAATTATTATACTTAGGAAAGTAAAATTTGAAAGAATTATTCTAATTGTAAAATCAAAATTTTTATGAATTAAATTTTATTTTTAATTAGTAAAAATTTTTGCATTAACTTTACAAATAGAATAACTTTTTCATAAAAATTTAATAAATTTAAAAAATGTATATATTAAACAAACTTTATTTTGATATAAAAATAAAAATTATTTCTTAATAAATTTATAAATTTTAATATAAAGAGAAAATTTTGATTTTTACTATATTTTATTAATAAATTTAGTCTCAGATGCATTACTTTTGGCTATTACTATAATTATAAAGTGATCTGATTATATTTAATTTTTATTAGATTTTTAAGATTAAATATTTTAAATATTTTAATTTAAAATTTAAATGAATAAAAAAATTATAAAATTAATTTTATTAAATTTTTAATAAGATTAAATATTCTAATCTATTTTTAAAATAAATATCAAATAATAATTTGAAAACTGATTTTAATAAATTTTTTAAAATTTTACTAAAAATAAATATTAAAAAATTTGAATGCTAATTTATTCAGAATTTTGAATATTTTTGAAATAAATATATTTAATCTGAAATAAATCTAATAATAATCTGAAAACTGAGTTTATTAAGAATATTCTGAAAATTTAAACTTTATAAAAATCTGAATAAAATTAGTTTTCAAATTATTATCAGATTTATTTCAGTTAAATTTTAAAAATCTGCTAAACTTCTGAGGATTTTCTAAAAAAGCTCAAATTTTTAATAAGACAATCTTCTCGAATTTATTATAACTATATTTAAAAACTTATTTTAGTATTTGAATTTTTATTGAATAATTTTTCAAAGACTTTTGTTATTTCAAAATTTGAATATTAAATATTATCTTAATTATTATAAAAAAATATAATTTAAAATAATAATAATTTGTATATATCAATTTTTATTGGTAATGCTTAATTAATAAGAAAATATATTTTAAAATATAAGTAATTTTAGAAAATAAAGCATTTTTTTATTAAGATTTATTTACTAAATTTTTTAAAATGCAATATATTTATATAAAATATTTTTTTCAAAATTATTTTCAAATAATTGCTTATTGAATATTATCTTTATTTAAAATTATTTTTTTAAACTTCAATTCGACACTTTTAACACTAGGTTTCGAAAAATGATATTATGTTAACGTAATTTATAATATAATATTAAGTAGATTTGTTCCTGATATCTTAAAGAATATATCTACAATGCTCACGATTTTAAATAATTCGTCATTAGATACAGTTAAAAAGATCACGCATTACTTTGGCCGGGAACTGTATATTATATTCAAGTTAAGTAATATATTAGTTAATAATTCTTTTGAAACTAAGAAATCAACTTCTGTATAAAACATTATTGACAATTTTAATATACGTATTTATTAATATGCAATGGAAAAATTAGTTATTAGATTATTATTAAAAAAATCAATCGATCAATTAATTAAAATGAGTTGAATTATTAAGTCATTGATAAAAGAGTATCATTATAAATTTTTTGAAGGAATACAATCTAAATTATATTTGGACTGGATTAAAACGCTGTGTTTTGGTTAGTTCGGAAGCTTTTACAGTTTCAATTAGTATAATTGAATATTAAGTCAAAATTCTTTTCAATTAAATAGTTTATAGTACATCTCGCATTTATCAATAAACCTTTTATATAAAGAAAGATATTTTGGATATCAAAAAAAATCAACAACTTAGGAAAAAATTAATATTGTATTGTCAGCTAATTATATTCTTTTTTCAAATTAATTGTCGTGTTCAATTAAACAACAAATAAACGTGTGGGCAGAAATCGTTAACAAAGTTAGACAGAAAAACAAGAGGTAACTGTATTTATAGACAGTCATAAGTTGATTTACCAAGTTTGGTTTCGCTTTTAACATAATAATTGGTACAATTCACTCTTGATATAAGAAAGTTGATTGGTCCCACAAAAAAAATTTTCCTTATATCGTATATCGAGAGATTATTAACTTTCTTATCACAAAAGTAAATACGTTGGTTTGAACTATATTTCTTATATCATGAATTTCTTATCTCGAGTTTCTTATACCGTGTCACTTGTAATTCTATTGTGATCGACCCAATTTCATTTGTTGAGAAATAAGTAAACCTTATCATTTAAAGTGAACAACAAAGATTTTTGTTTTATCATCAGTACAGTTCCAAAAATATTCTTTGTATTAGTGCTTTTTTTCTCAAGAATTTATTTTTGGTATAGATATTAAATTAAAGACACTCGTAAATTTTTTCAAGTTTATAAGTTGATTGCAAAACAAAATACTAAATTTCGCCCATTATCATAATTTAGGTCCTCTCCTTATCTTTACATATCTTAGGTATAATCTATATGTGCAGGTATCATAGGTATAATCTATATGTGCAGGTATCATAGGTATAATCTATATGTGCAGGTATCAATTGACTGTACTATTTATCATAGGTGCGTTTATTTATTAGACAAATCACTCACACTTTATCTGTCATACAATAAATGATCGAACTGATGGGCTGGTCAAATTTTTTTATTTACATGTATATTAGTAATTTTATTTACAATGTATGAAGATCTTTGAATTTATTGGTTAGGATTTTCCGCCAAATTAGTTATCTCGATGGCTAATCGTTGATTAATTCTCTATTTTCTATAGGTATACAATGGCATATACAATGACACGATTTAATTGATTAATTGCATTATACAATTTTTGAATTTTTCATATCCACTTCTACCTTCTCATAATTAATCGATCAAACATTTACTTTTTTAGCTCGCTGAAAAAAAATTCAAAAAGAATAGATGACTTTTTGTGTCATATAATCGGAAATGTTGATCTCTATTTTAATATCCAGACGAAATCTCTATGACCATTCAAGCGAATTATTCGGATAGAAAATCATCACCTAGTAAAGTAAAGAAGAGAATACGATGAAGAATCTTTTACTTATAAGGTAATAAAATATTTTTTCTCTTTTTTTTCTTCTTTTAAATCTCATTTCTTTTAACATTTAGCATTTTATTTACCAAAAAATAAGCTTTCCGGATTGTACACTCAAAAACAAATCCGCAATCAATATCATTGAGAAAAAAGACCGCGCAAAAAAACCTGTTATCAGAATAGTTAATTTAGTTAGAGTTCTGTGGACATTTGTTACATTATCGTCGACCCCTTAAAATGGCTAACTTTCCCTCCAACGAGCAGACTAATCAAATTTAGGTTTAGCTCAACAAAGTTACACAAAAAATCTAAAATAATATTCCGTAGAGAAAAATTCTTCCTTACTTTTGATCGATCGCACAAACTTTTCACATAAGCACGCAAACAAATGTCTGACACGTAACAAATGCCTGTGTATCTTTAAAGGTACCCGAGTTTTTATGACTTTTAATAGAAGTAAACCGAAGGGAATGACAATATTTTTGTTGAATGACCTGGAAAAGTAAACTTAATTAAACGAATGTTTTAAATGATCGGATATATGTAACCTATAAATGATATTAACGAAAAAAAAAATAAACAACAGGACCCTGCATTATAGCTAAACTAAAAAAGTGATTACCGGTAGAAAACCGTAATAATTAGTGTACCACTGCAATATGAGTGTGTATTCCTGCTTTTTTTTTGCTATTAATGGTTTGTTTTGCGACAAAGAAAAAAAGGGATCAAGCATAGCTAAACTTTGAAAACAAGTTAAGAGCGCTTTGAGTTTTCATTTTTCGCATTTTCTTCACCCCTTAAACTTACGTAGAAACCATTGTTAAAAACACAAATGAAAAAATTTTGTCGAAACATGATTTAAATAAAAAAATTTAAGTATAATCAGGGAACGTAAATTTCACTACAAACTTTAATTTAGCTTTCCAACAAATAAATGAATTCTTTTAAATAATGTTCTCATAAAAAAAAAATCGGTGAAAATAATTTTGCATCACGGGAACTCTTACTATCCCCTGACACCATGTGTATGTTGTGTTTCTGAAAAGATTCATAGTTATTTTCCTCTTTTTGGTATTTCTTGTGTTTTCAGCCTCTCTTTCGGTGCGTATTTTGAATTGAAAGTCTCCAAAAAAAAAATTGGATGAAATGCACCGCGCATTAGCAAGCATCTAGCAATTTTACATAAATTTAATGATAATGATGATATAAGACTACATGCACCGTAGCATTTGTAAAATAATAATTATCTAATAATGAATAACGATAATGATAAGTAGCATGTACGAATTGATAATGGTGGTGATAGACTCCCCATATATAGGTATCTCTAGGTAACATTGATGCATGACGAGAAATGTATGCTATCTTAACATTTGACAATCCGATGTATGCTTGCAATATTAATATCTAAACGCATACGATAGGGAAAACAGTTTATAAACAGGTTTTTATTAGATTAGATTACGATGATTTATATGTAAAAGAAAAAAGTTTTTTTGAAAGCGAAGCTACAGCCTCCCTGTTAAAAATAGCACTAGTCGTATTAATTTATGTTGACTCTAATATTTATAAAAAATTCTAGATAAAATATTTACTTGTAGTTTACAGAGAGACGCGTTCACTTCACATTATGTACAAATTTAAATTTATATTTATATAAAAAAAGAAAAAAAGGAAAAAGATAAGAAAAAATTTAAATACAATAAATGTCTTTTTTCTTTTTTTATTTTTTTTTAAATAGAATAATTAAAAAGTTGATGCTGATGCTGTTGCTGTTGCTGTTGCTGATGCTGATGCTGATGATGCTCCGTTGCTATTGTTGGATTTGTTTCCAACAAATTATGATGTTGTGAAGGTCGTAACATTGAAGGAGAAGATAACGAATGATGTTGGGTTACGTGTGATATCGGATGTTGCACGTGTGTACCATTATTAGTTCCTTGTAATCTAACTCCTCTCAAAAATGAATCTTGTAATGATTCAGCCTCGTGCATCAATTGTATATGATGTTGAATCTGCTGTTGTGTTATCGATGATTTTGTCGATAGATGTTGTTGCTGCGTTAAATTATTAATTAATACTCCAGTTGAATCTAATTGATTTGACGATGACGATAATCCTATAGGTGTTGTTGGTGTTGGTGGTGGTGGTGCTTGATTCGTGTGACCAGTAAATTGGCCAAAAGATAACCATGAGTTATGGTTATTCCCCAACGATGTAAATTGTGCATTTGTAAGATCGACTGGAAAATTATTATTTATATTAATATTATTATTCATTAGTTCGAAATTAGATTCCAAAACTGGTGTCAAAAGAATGTTGTCATCATTTGAAGAATTCACTAATTTAATCTCTTGATTATAATGTGGTGGTAGTGATGTCGTTGTTATTGGATGTTGTTGTAAAAATGCATGAGAAGTATTAAGTAAATCAGTATCCTGTAACTGACTCATAACGTAATCCATCAAGTATGGATTTTCGACAAATGGTTCCTCTTGATGCAGTTGGACAGGGAAAAAACTTTCTTGACCAACAGGAGACGGCAAAGGAGAAGCGTATACCGATGACTGCTCTCTTAATGATGTTGATAAAATTTCGGTTTCAAGGGGATAAGAGAATGAATGCACTGTTAGTGTCGATTGTTCTCCATTCAAAGAAAATCGATGATTTATATTATCATTTATCCATAGTACTGTATTACTATTATTATTATTGTTGTTGTTGTTGTTGTTGTTATTGTTATTGTTATTCTCATTATCAGTATTATTGATATTGCACGTGACTGAAGTTCCATTAACACTAACAGGTGTAGTTGGTGGATTGTTTTCTTCTTTGCTGGATTCATTTTTTATTTCTATGGGATTCGTATCGAAAACTGTGAATGCAGACTCCATAGACGCTTGTTGTCGATGTTCGAAGGGCACTATTTGCGACTTATCTACTTTTGATGATAACTTCGATGAAGATTTTGAATCTTTCGAAGTAGATGAGCTTTTAGAATCTTTTGATTTTCCCTTATTTTTGGCATCCTTTTTTTGTGGCTTATATTTATAGAACGGGTATTTCCTCTTATGTTCAACCAGGGCAAGATCCGCTTCTCTTTGATACTGTAATTTAACGTGTTCCGGTTCTTCTTTCCACATTTCTGCGACAGTTTTTGAAGGATGTCGTGCATCTGAAGTCACACGTAAATTATTTGATTTGTATTGCGCCAACTCTTTTGACTTCGTTCGATGATAAATTATAAATGCATTCGGTGGTCTTGGAACTTTAGAATCATATGGTTTTGGCGTTGCTGAAGCTGCAGAAAGTTTGCGTTTCTTTATGGTCTATTTTAGAATGACAAAGAGATTTTCATTACCATTGTTGAATCGTGATTAGCATATTGCTTTTGTTATTGCTACATACAGCTATTGCTATACTGCTGAATAAACATTACAACGTTGTATGCTATTGGATTAAGTGCTAAACGTAACGACGAGTCAACAATAGTTTTTTTTTTTTGAATAGTAATTACCTGTTGATATGCATCGGATGCCCATGAAAATTGTCCATCCACAAAATTTGAACTTTTGACGTCTACGTTAGTGTTGGATTCCGGGAAAATGATTGATAATGATGGTGATGATGATTTAGGATTTGTCGATAGAATAGGTTCGTTATTGCTAATGAGTGTGTCTTGTAACGCAGCGGGATTTGAATTAAGGGTAAAATCAGGATTTGGTATGTCACTCTGCTGTAATGCTTTGGCCAGTACATCGGGTGAAAGTGTGTGATTATTGTGGTGATGGATATTGATGGTGCTGTGAGAGGCGGTGGTGAAATTATTGGTGCTGGCGGTTGTTTTCCAAGAATTAGATGAGCTAAACGAGGATTTATTATTAAGTTCCA